CTGATGAAAACGCCATCAATGAAGGAGCAGCTCCAGGGGGGGGGAGAGTTGAGAGGTTCTTGTTCTAGCCCGACCATGAAGGTGCACTTAGGAGCCACCACAGAGGCGGCTCTGCCACTGGGCTGCAGCAACATTTTCTCTCCAAAGGTAAAACAGTTCTGGGTTCCTGCAGAGTCACGGAGCCCGGTGGGCAGGCAGCCTGTGTTTCAGGGTCAGTGATGAGGATGATGTTCTTGAGGGCTCAAAGCCTTTTCTGTGGAAGACGCTCATCAGCTTCCATCCACGGTGGCCAAACCGATGTCGTTAGGAGGGCGTCCCTGGAGTCCAACCTCCTGAGGTGTCCGAAGACAGCTGGGGGTGCAGGGGAAGAAGGCAGACCCCCCACCCTTCCCCCACTAGCCTCAGACAGACGCCTCCTGGAGGAAGTGGAGGAGGAAGAGGGGGGGGGGCTAACACAATCTTCCTTGCAAGATTTTATTATTATAACCGATCTTAATACATTTAGCCTTCTGCTGGAGTTCACATCCTGTGCTCTACTAGTTGATAAATATTTAATGAATAAATATGTTCAGAGAAATAACAATAAAAACATATTAAAAAGCAAGGCAGAAAGCCCATTCAGCAGAAGCCGAGGGAAGCCTGCAAGGCCCCCAGTGCTGACTCAGCTGGCAGAGCTGGATTGGCTTCCCCAGCTGAAATCCACCCTCCGCCAGCCGTGCAGATCGCACACTTTTTCACAGGCGTCCTAAACTTCTACTGAAGACCTGACGAAGACGGAGATGGACAGCCGGGCATTACCTGGGCAAAGCTGCTGCAGAACAGGGGCATGCCAACCAAATTTGGATCCCAAAGGAGCCCTGAAGGCTGGATTCATAGAAGAAAGCCAACAGCCTGAGGGGGAGAGCAGCAGCCGTGGGGTTCAGAGGGCTGCAGGGATGGGGGGAGGGGGCGCCAAATGAAGGACTGCACCCCAGTTGGAGCCACGGACAGAGGGCAGGAGTTCTCCCTCCCTGCCCCACACGGCTGGCTGGATTACCCTCCCCATTGGCAGCGCATTAGCCAGCCTTTCTCCACCCGAAGCCCCCACCCCCAACACTCTTCATCTGCCCTTGTCAGCACAAAACCAGGCTCTCCCCACTGCCAGAGGTCTCTGCTCCAGGTCCCTGCTAGCCTGAGTATGCCAGTCACCCTAGGGAGGCATTGGGGCGCTCCTCAGTCTTCACTGGCCCCGTGTCCCCTCCAACCACCCAGGCCCCACATGGGGGGTCAGGTGTCAAAGAGGCTGCTTGGCCACCTCTAGGCTAGTCTGGCGGCCCCTCCTTCTCCTCAGTGGGATGCCCACTTGCCTTGGCATCGCCCAAGTTAAAATTTGGGGTGAAAGAAGCACTGAAGAACTTTCCCTGGCCAGGCAACCGGCTGAGCCCTGCAAACAGAAACTGACCGGGAAGTCCCATCTCTGAGCAGAGCGGGCAGAGATCCAGGGAAGTCCCAACTTCCCTCCTCCTTTTCTGCTCAGGAAAACAGGGCTGCCCGCTTCAGAACACAGTGGAAGAGCACCAATGCCAGCTCTTTCCTGCAGAAAACACGCAGGCGTCAGGAACAAAGGAAACCCGAAGGAGGGCAGCAGGTCCTGGAAGAAACGTGGCTGCACTGGGGGAGAGTGAGGGGAGCCACAAGCATGAATGGGCACAGATCCATGGCAACTTGAGGCAGCTTCACCCACAGGCCAGGGACAATGGCAAAGGTACGGGGAGGGAAAGGCCCTTGTCTGGGCCCGACTGCCTTGCGGCCAAATACAGGTGGTGACAGAGCTTAGGACAGGTGGCTTTATGCATCCCCTCCTCCCTGTAGAAAGAGAAGAGCCCGGAAAGAGGGCAGAGAAAAACAGCCAAGATGATTGCGGGACTGGAGGCTAAACACAGGAAGAAGCGTGGCAGGAACTGGGCATGGCTGGTTTAATACAAAGGACTGGGGTGACGTGGTAGCAGTCTTCCAATATTTGAGGGGATGTATGGGAGGGTCAATGTATTTGCCAAACCACCAGAAGGCAAGACAAGAAACAATGGGGGGGGCAGGGACTAAGGGAGGACCTAGAACTAAGGAGAAACCTCTTAACGAAGAGGAGAATCGACCAGTGGAGCAGAGGTTGCCACCAGAGGTCGAGAGAGCTCCGTCCCTGGAGGCTTTTAAGAGGAGGTTGGTCCAGGCTCTCCTGCTTGAGCAGGACTAGATGACCTCTATAGTCCCTTCCAATTCTTACTCTGTATTCTAAAGGCCCGGTGCAGGCATAAGAAATGAAGCAATTGCTACAGGCAAACTTAAGTTGCTTATTATCAAACTGTATTCTGAAGAAGTGGCTGAATCTGGGGCCTTTCGGGAGTTAATGGCCTCCAGGGCAATTGAGGACACCTTCCCCTATTGACGGACATATGCTGGGCCTCAGGGGGGGGTTGAGATGTGATGATCTACACAGCGGAGGTCATTAACCTCATCTGTTCCCTGGACAGAGCTCTCTGCTTCCCCCTCAGCTCAGCCCTCCCTGCAGGGAGACAGGCCCCTTCGATGTCCCCCCCCTCCCAGCACTTGAGGGGGCCAGTGGGGTTCCAGAGGGAGCAGGGGGGGGCTTGCTGGAATAGGTGGGGGGACTGGGGTCTTGGACTCCTACGCGGCCTCACTCGTCTGCCGATCAGGGGTGCATCTAAACTCACCGATGGGCTCTGGGAGAGGAGGAAGGCCCAGCGGAGCCCCCGGACGCCACGGGAGGAAGACTCTGACTGGTGGCGAGGAGGGTGGCAGAACCTCTTTGCCCTCTTTCCATCTGTTGATATCTGCCAGCAGCTGTTTAGGGGAGCCCCTCAGAACCTCCCTTGAGATGCTGTGAGGATTAGCCTGGCTGTCCAGGGGATCAAGTTGCTTGCTTGGACCGAGTGGGCAGAGCAGGATGATGAGCCTCAGGCTCAGTCCGGGAGTGGATCCGGGGTGAACCTCAGCCAGGGGTCTCCCTCCATCAGTTCAGCAGTCACCACTTTACTGGGGGGTCCTCCTGGATCATGACAAGAGGTGACCGTGGTTGGGGTCAGTCTCTCGGAGGGCGGGGCTTAGCGGGGGGGTGCCCCCTCGTCTCCAGCTGCTTTTGACAAATGCTCCCCAACCTTCCTGCTAGCAGGCTGTAGCCCAGGAGATCCCCTTCCAGCACCAAGAGATCCGCCAGCTGGAGATCTTGCCGGGCTGCTGGGCAAGGAAAGTGGCAGGTGGACACAGAGCCTCAAAATATCCCACCCCAAACTCTCCCCCTCCCCCTCCCAGAGAACAAGGGGGGCTGCCGTGAACAGAAGAGGGGTCAGTCCCTCCCTTCAGGCCACAGGGCGTCTCCTGACCACACCTCTTTAGCTGCTCGCCCATCTGGGGCATCACCAGAGCACCACATCTAAAGGAGGAGGGACAAGACAAGAGACCGAAGGGCCACCCTGCAGAATCTAAATCAACCACAGACCTCACTGACCTCCAGCCAGGTGGACCCCATTAACCAAGAGCCAAGCTCGTAAGGCCTCCCCAAGGACGGAAGGGCATCCAATGCTCCCAGGGAGTCCAGGAACGGCCACTTTGGGCAGAAAAGAGATGCTCCCCGCATGCACCCTGGGCTGGGGGGGGGGGAAAGCAAGTGGTTTTCAAAGCAAACAGATGAAAACAGTGCACAGCAATCCAGCTGGGCTGGCTGGGGGGCTACATGGAACCAAAGCAAGCCAGAAAGGAAGATGGGGGGGGGGCTCCTTGGCCCAGCTGCTCCCTGGCACCTCAGGGGCCCCCCTGGCCAGCCAGGGATCTTTGGCTTGGAGCCGCCCCTCAGCGGCAGGAAAGGCTGGTGAGGCTGGCAGAGAGGCCTCCGGAAGGCTGGCAGAGCTGGGGGCAGCGGAAGGACTGGCAAGGCTGGCTCTGGAGAAGCCCTGGAAACCCCCTCCCCCCCTCCAGGCCGCCCCTGCTGGGCTCCACTTGGATGCCCGGCTCTTTTGGCCTTGAGTTGAAAAGCCAGAGGGAACATTTGGGGAGGGGATTCCGAGCAATCAACTCAAGAAGCCCCTCGATGCTCTTTGGGCCCCTCAAAACACGCCCGGCCACCCGCTGGTGCTCCCAGGTCTTCTTGGCTGTTGAGGATCCCTGGAGAGACAGGAGGCCCAACGCTGCCATTGGCACCTGCCTTCCGCTGTTGCTGCTCCACCGAGCCCGGCAGTCCCATCTCCCCAGCGCCCAGGCCAGCTGCGCAGGGCTCCCGTCCGGCGACCCTGGGGCCGGACCCAGTCCGAATGGCGGAGGAGCCGGGCGGCCCTTGGCCCCGCTCGCGAAACCAGAGCGCTGAAATCCGCGGCCGCGCTCAGCCCCCGAGACTCCTCAGCAGCCCCGGGCAAGAAGCGGAACTGGTCGGCGGTCCCGCGGTGGCGCCTCCTCTCCGGCCCAGAGCGGGAGACGCGAAAGCCGCGCTGTTCCTCCCGGCTCGAAGGAGAAGAGCTTCCAGGCGGCTGAAGGCTTGAGAAGCCCGCTCTCCGCGCCCCGCCCGACGGCCTGGCAGCTCCGGGGCAGCCGGCGCGTGAGCGGGGCCAGCTCTGCGCCCCGCCCGTCGGAAGGCCCGCCTGGAGGGGTCGGCCGCATAAGTGCCTCCGCCCCGAGACAACAGGAGCGCCGCGAAGGGGAAGCCGAGGGGCCGCGTTGGAGCAAGCGGCGCGGGCGCGCCCGGTCCCGTAGGCAGAGCCCGGTGGCCGGGGCCGGAGCGAAGGTGAAGGGGCGCGGGGCGGACGGCCCCCGGGGGCGCAGCGACGTGTGGGATCCGCGGGGGTTGCGCCGCCGTCCGAGGCTCCGGTCCCGCGGGCTGGGCGTTGCCCTGAACGCGGCGCTCTTCTCTCGGTTGCAGCGGAGCCCGAGTGGCCTGAGGCCAAGGGGCCGCCTGAGCGCTCTCCGCCGGCCGGGCTTTCGCGGGGAAGAGCTACGGACGAGCGGCGTGCCCAAGACCATGTGCAGAGCGCCCTCCGGCCGACGCCCCCCGCCTCCTCCCGCGGCGCCCCAGCGAAGCCAGCCGGCCCCAAGCCAGGTAGGCGCCGCCGCCGGACCCTCCGGC